ACTAGATGAAATACGGGTATTAGGGTTGCGCCCACACCAACTAGGCTATTGCAAATAGGAAAGAGGACTGGGAATCTAGCTAGAGAGCCCCTGCAATTATAGACTAGTTGTGGCAATAGTAGGTCATCTAGCTTGAAAGTCAAAAACTAGGGTTAGAACTTCTGCTATCAACGAATAGATGAAATAGCCAACACCAACTAGGCTACTATCAAACCAAAATAAAATAAGTAATTATATACTGGGCCATCTGGATTGGAAGTATAAGTAAGGAGAGCTAGGTTACTAAAGTACTAGGATATACTGTAAAGTAAGTTCTGAGATTTGAGTAAATTCTACAAGAGCAGAAGTAGGTTTGAATAGTGAAGTTCAGCCAAACTGGGGTTAAATCATAGAAAAAAATAGGAGAAAGTTTAAGCTGAAAAAAAAACTATAAGCAAAAGTCCTTGACTTGGTACTATATATATTTCCAGAATAGATATAACTAAGCTGCAAGTAGTAGTCTATGGTCTGTGTATACCAAATTGAAGCATAGACTAGATGCAGTATAAAGTGAAAATACTATAGATTCTGTTAAGTTTACCTCGAGGATAAAGTAGTTCTAAGTCAATTATTCGAAACGTGCACCTGTAAGACTGGTTCTAAAAACTAGAAAAAGGATAATAATTGATATAGATCTTGGAGTATATAAGTGCAGAGGGTTTAAATAGATAATCCTCTAGTTGGGTTTCAGGTATAGCAAATAGTGTAGAATCTAGAAATAGGCAAACTACTTAAATAGGTGCTCAAAAGATGCAAGTATGACTAAATATACTTTCCAAATTTGTATAATAACTGTCCTAATACAATAAAGTAAAATGTGACCAAGAGGTCACCTTAAAACCAAAAAAAAATATGATTAATACAATATTTATATATAGAAATAATACAAAATTGATCATATTTAATTTTTTTATTCAAGTTAATAATTATATAATAAGACTAACTATTTTTTAAATTTTTTCAAAATATAATATTTTATTTACTTTCTTATATTTTTTGTTAGATTTAGCTATATATATAAAAATATTATTGAGATATAATATTTCAATTAATCTATATATCTTGTTATACACATTTTATATTTAATCAAATAAAATTTTAATAATTAATATATAATAATAATATACAGTATTGTTAAATCATACCACTGGTGTTCAATACTACTAAACTTTATAACTCAAAAATTCATCTATAAAACTATCTTTGAGGCTTTAACAAAAAAAATTCCTTGTAATATTTTAATATAAACTATATTATACCCTATCCCAAGCCTAAATTTTAACTTTAATATAAAATTTAATTTTTGTTTTGATAAAAATTATTTTGATCTACATATTATATAATTTTTATATATGTGGTGTTGAACACTACTAGTACAATATATAATTTTTGATAATATAAATTAATATATATTTATTTTATATAGTATACTTAGCATATTTACTTTTTTAAGTCAATACACTATTGGCTAAAATTAAATAATTATTTTTTAAAAAACTAGCACATCATTGTTAATATTTAAATTATTTACAGTTTATTAAGTTATGTTTCCAAAAAATCTCACTTCCTATTATAACAAGTTAGAATTTTTGATTTAAAATAATTTATATATGTTACAGGTCAAGTTGGTTTTTAGGTCAAGTTAAACTTGACCCGGGTCAAATTGATCTCTAGCAGAATTTTAGGGTTAGGGCAAGCTGGAATTATGTTGATGCCGGCCAGGATTTTTTAATTGATCAATTTGACCCAGGTCAAGTTTAACTTGACCTAAAAACCAATTTGACCCGTAACATATACAAAAGATTATATTGTTTATTAACCTGCATTTTTCAAAATAAATACAAGAATAACAGAACTAATGTATTAGAATTATTACATTATTATTGTCAAATCCTGAAATCCTTGAGCTTATTATAATTAATATTAACTTATTAGTATTTTTTCACAAAAATTTATACAAATCTTGGATTTTTTAGCAAAAAAACCTGTATTTTCCTAATCAAAGGTCAATTCAAACAACCTACTGCTTATATTAAAACAAATATGAATGCTGAATATTTTGATCCCAATTTAGATATATTAATCATATCAAAATTTTTTAATCAGCTAAATTTTATTTTATGTTTTGTGATACCTTTAATGTTGTATACCAAAAATTTTCCACACATATTCCTTTTCATCCCAGCAGATAATTGTTTTTTGTGACCCAAGTATTTAATCTGAAAATTTTTATCTTGGAGATGCTACAAGCAAAAACATTCACAATTATTCTATTATACAAGAATTATCTAATCTATGAGCTATTTTATAAATAGGTGATTTATTGTAGATTGAAATATGATATAGCAGTTAAAAAATTATACTAAATAAATTTTGGTTAAATATGATCGATTTTTTACCTCACTTGCCTGAAATTGTACTCGACTATATTTGGTTACAAGCTTCTTCTTGTGCAGTAGAAAGAAGCTTTTCAAATACAACTCGATTTTAGATACTAATTGTCAAAGTTTAAGTAAAGAAACATTACAAAGTTTGAACATGTATTTTAACAACAAATTAAATAGCAATAGCATTTAAATTAACAATTTAAATAGTGATGGCATTTAAATTTTAATAATTTAACTAGCAATGTCTTTTTTTTTCTTTACCGTATTACCTCGAAATAACGCCCCGGGTGTAGGTTAAAATTTTGGCCCGAATTAAGCTTAATTCGGCCTAAATTAAGCTTAATCCGGGCCAGTTTTTTTAACCTACACTCCGGGCGTTATTTCGAGGTAATACGGTATACTTTTTTTAATTTAAATTTTCAATAAAAAGTGTCGCAGAAGTCGTACAGAATCTATTGAAATAGCATGGAAACTGTGCAGAATTTATCAATTTGATTTATTTTAGCACAGACAGAATTGACCAATTGTCACAGCAGAAAATCATGCAAAATTTTTTTGATAGATTAGTTGGTCGACTATTTTTTCAGTGGTTGCAACTAATTGATTAATCGATGAGTTGCAACTAATCGATTAATCGACAAGTTGAAACTGATCGATTAATCGATTAGTTGCAACTAATTCATTAAGTAAATGAATAATTTTTCAATCGATACTTTGCAACTAATCGATTATTGCGGTTTGCAAAATTATGCAAAATTTGATCATTCATTATTTATTGCGGTTTGTGAAATTTTGATCATTAAAAAAAAAAAAGTAATCACGATTTCTGATTACTGATTTCCGAAATCAGTGATTACTTTTTTTTTTATTGCGGTTTGGAAATTTGAAGATCAATAAAAAAAAAAGTAATCACTGTAATTGAGATAGCACCGCCACAAACCTTTCCACACCTCTAGTTCAGTTAGCAACAACTAAAATACAAGTTTATAGATTCGCAGCAATTCAGACAAGATTTTCATAATTATATTATTTATGTTAATCAAAAGACAACTATCGCTATTGATACCGGGAAATGAGTTATTGATGATAGAGAAAACATAGAAAAAATATGCATAAAATTTTTAGAAAAAAAGGCATAAGAAATATTGCCAGTATTTATAAAAGATATATTCTTATAGGAGTTTATATTATAATTAACACTAATTTTCACCAATCCATTTATTTAAAACTTGTTTAAGTTCTTCAATTTTCAGAGGCTTTGCGAGATAATCATTTATTCCTGACTCTATACATTTACCTTGTATCTCTTCCATTGCAAATGATGTTAGGACAATAATCGGTATGTTTGAAATTGGTGGCCTCATTGCTCTAATTACTCGTGAAATATCAAAGCATGACATTATTGGCTAAGTATAATAAATAATTAATTAGTTGTGACTTTTCATAATGTTAAATATTAATAATTAATAAATGAATTAAACTTACTAAATTACATTCAGTTAAAATTAGTGAGATTCTATGAGATTTTATTTGTTCTATATCTGAATTAAATTCAGAATCAATCAACTTGACTGCTTCTTGGCCATTTGTTGCAGAGATTGTTAAATAACCGAGCTTTGAAACTTTCTGTAATGTGTTCTAAAGATAACATTATATTAAAGAACTGGTAAAATAATGAGTCAACATTAAATAATTACCTCTAGGCCAATAGGATTATCATCCTACAATAAAGTAAATCAACAAATTAAAGTTCGGTAAGATTATTAAGTATTCATAATTTACCAAAACAAAAGAAAAAAAGGCATACCACGCATAAAATACATTTGCTTATAGAATCTTTTCTCGTTATTCCTTCAAATATTTCTTGATTCGCATTTCCCACCTCATAAAATCCATAATCCGCTATTCGCTTCAGAATACTTCCACTTTCGTTTTCATGACTGTGCAAATTCGTATTGTTTTTGTTAGTAGCTTCATTTTTTTCTATATCCATAAATTGTTTAATTAATTTTTTCCATGTAATTGGAGTATAAATGACTGAAGTTGCTCCTCCAACTTTACTTATTAATCTTTTTGCTAATAAAATTCCTTCATTAGTCGGAAATACTATAAAGATTATTACTAAATTGTTACTATTCATCTCTAACCCTCTTAATTCTAATGCTACTTTCATGACCTCTTCTTCATTATTTTCATAAAGATTGATGAACGCTATATCATAAGCAGGTCTATTATACAATTCTTTACATGTTCGTGCTGCTTTAATACCTTTATCAAAAAGATCGAATGCATCAACCTTTTTAGCACCTTTAAGATATTTAAGCATTGCATTTCTCATACTTTCGATTTGATGAATTATTAGTATCCGTTTTTGTCTTATAACGTTGGGTAATACATAACTTAGTTGCAATTGTGTCTTTAATAATGAGGATGTTGGAAATTTTGAAATCATTGATGCTGTTAATGATTCAACATTCCATGTAAACCAAAATTTACTTCCTTTTCCCAACTGACTTTCTACTTTAATTACTCCTCCATTCATTTCTACTAGACTTTTACAAATTGAGAGACCAAGTCCTGTACCATCTTGTTTCTTGGTTATTGACATGTCGCCTTGTGAAAAGCTTTTCCAAGCATGTTGTACATATTCAGGATTCATGCTATTATTAATAAATTATTAGATGACTACATACAGTATTAAAACATAAAAATATATAGTAATAAGTGGCTTACCCAATGCCAGTATCATATAACTCAAATAACAGAACCTCTTTTGTATTCATTTGATCATAAGATGGACTCCCTTTGGTTTCGTGAATGGCTTTTTGCGATAAAATTGAAATTTTCAGTATGATTTCACCTTTCTCAGTAAATTTAATTCTATGAAATTATGAATGATTATTACTTTGTATGTTAATATAATAGAAATAAACATAAATATATAAGCATAATTACGAATTTGATAATAGATGGGATAAAACTTGTCTCAGCCTATTTAATGTGAAAAGATGCAATACAGGTAGCAAATTTATTATTATTATTATTATTATTATTTATAAGTTGCACTAACTCAATTACCTCTCAGGATCGCTCTTAACATATCTCGGCAACTCATTTACATCACAATTTATGATTAGTTCGATATTTTTAGCACCGGCTTTTTCTCCAAATGTCTCAACCGTGCTATCAAATAATTCTAATAAGTCAAATGTTCTGTTTACCAGAATAATTTTATGTGCCTCTAATTTTGCTGCATCAAGGATATCATTTATTATAGATAACACTACATCAGAGGCACGTGTCAAGATATTGACCATGTCCCTTTGACCCTCAGCAGTAAAGTTAGTACCCTCAAAAGAAGAAAGAATGCCTACTATCGCCCCTAATGGTGTTCTTAATTCTATATGATTAATCTTAATTAGCACAATAAAAATTTTAGAAGTGCAGTTAACGAAAGTAATATACCATGTGAAGTATTTGCTAATATTTGACTCTTGGCGTTACTTGCAACTTCAGCAGCTTTTATTTGAATTTCCTTTGCAGTATTCTCTTCTAATATGGTTTTATAAGCAATAGTTAAACTTATTTGATTCGATATTTGTTGTAAAAGCTCTATTTCAGAATCGAACCAAGCGGAATTTGGAGATCTATATACTTTTATCCATCCCCAAAGACCATTATTTAGCCTTATTTCTGCTGATAATATAGATACATTTTTACAAACATCGTCACAGTAGACATCAAAATAAATATCTATTCCTGAATGATTCTTTAAAAATTCATGTGTTTTAATAAATGTTTGTGATTCACTCTCGTCGTTATTATTGATTTCCATGAGTGAATTTGTAGTGTTTTCGTATAAAGCAATTATTTTATTACCCTTAAGATCAAGCTCTTCATTCGAAATAATAAATATTCTTTTACATGGTAATCTCTGATAGATTTCCTCAACAATATATTGTAATATTTCTTTCGTATTTGATCCGGAAAACATTTTGGTTGATATTGAAAGCAGTAAATGCTTTATTTCTTCCTGTTTACATCGTTCAAATGTTATTTTACGACGAAGAAATGATAGCTCAAGATTAGTGCGAATACGAGTAATTAATTCTCGAGCAGAAAATGGTTTTATTAAATAATCATCAGCTCCTTTATCCAGACCTAAAAAGTACAGTACATATATTAAAGACGAAAACCGATAAAGGAAATAGACTAATCTGATATATTTAAATTACCTCTAAGTTTAGATTCTTCATCACTTCTTGCGGACAATAATATTACGGGAATCAATTGAGTCATATTATTAGATCTTAATACATCTAATAACTCGTATCCATTCATATTTGGCATCATTATATCTATAAATCATATTCAAATTATATAAAATTTTTATTAAATTCAAATATCGTAATCATATATTTACTTACCACTAAGAATTAAATCAGGTAATTTGTTAAGCTTTTTTAAAACTCTTAAAGCGTCTTGGCCATCATAGGCATGGAGTATCTCAAATTCTTTTAACAGATCATCTAGATAATTTCTATAAATGTGGCCAAATAATAAGAAACAATTTATAGTAATGTATCTTATTTAAAAAGTCATTACCGCATGTCAT